GGAAGCTAGGCCAGATACTATGCCCTTCCTTCTCGTTCAGAGGTTGTTGCTTCCGATTTGGTCATTACAGGGATTGTTCCAGTCTGTCATAGAGATGCATCGGTTCTATTTGATCCGGGATCCACTTATTCCTATGTGTCCTATTATTTTGCCTCGCAATTGGGCGTATCTCGAGATTTATTAAGTTCCCCTATTTATGTGTTTACTCCTGTGGGAGATTCTCTTGTTGTGGACCACTTTTATCGGTCGTGTTTGACTACTCTTAGTGGTTTTGAGACCAGAGCCGAGTTATTATTGCTCAGCATGGTATATTTTGATATTATCTTGGGCATGGACTGGTTGTCGCCCCATTATGCTATTCTTGATTGTCACGCCAAACTATGACGTTGGTGATACCAGGTTTACTGTGATTAGATTGGAGGGGTACTTTAGATTACACTCCCAGTAGAGTTATTTCATTTCTTAAAGCTCAATGAATGGTCTAGAAGGGGTGTGATACGTATCTAGCTTATGTGAGAGATGTCAGTATTGATACCCCTATAGTTGATTCAATCCCAGTAGTGAGGTATTTTCCTGATGTGTTTCCAGCTGATCTTCAAGGCATGCCGCCCAACAGAGATATAGATTTTGGCATTGATTTGTTGCTGGTCACTCAGCCCATCTCTATTTCTCCTTATCGTATGGCCCCTCCTGAGTTGAAGGAATAGTTACAGAAATTTCTTGATAAGGACTTTATTCGGCCAAGTGTATCACCTTAGGGTGCTCCTATCTTGTTTGTGAAGAAGAAGGATGGTTCTATGCGGATGTGCATTGATTATCGTCAGTTGAACAAAGTTACAGTGAAGAACCGGTATCTTTTGCCTCATATTGATGACATGTTTGATCAGTTATAGTGTGGTTGAGTGTTTTCCAAGATTGATTTGCGTTCAAAGACTGCTTTCAGGACTCGGTATGGTCATTACGAGTTCCTTGTTATGTCATTTTGGCTGACCAACGCCCCAGCAACATTTACGCATTTAATGCACTGTCTATTCCGGCCATATCTTGACTCGTTCGTCATTGTCTTTATTGATTACATTTTGGTGTACTCCTAGAGTCGGGAAGATCATGAGCTGCATCTAAGGACGGTGTTTCAGGCCTTGAGAGAAAAGAAATTATATGCAAAGTTTTCAAAATGTGAGTTCTGGTTGGATTCTATGGCATTTTTGGGTCACGTAGTGTCGAGTGAAGGGATCAAGGTGGATCTGAAGAAGGTGGAGGCAGTGCAGAGTTAGCCTAGACCATCCTCAACTATAGAGATCCAGAGGTTTCTTGGTTTGGCGGGTTATTATTGTCGCGTCCAGACAGTTGAAGGTGCATGAAGAGAACTATCCTATCCACGACCTCGAGTTAGCTGCGATTGTTCATGCCTTGAAAATTTGGAGGAATTATTTGTACGGTGTCCCTTGTGAGATCTATACTGATCACCGGAGTTTGCAGCATCTGTTTAAGTAGAAGGATCTTAATTTGCGCTAGAGGAGGTAGTTAGAGATGCTTAAGGATTATGATATCACTAATTTGTACCACCCAGGGAAGGCCAATGTGGTGGTCGATGCTTTGAGTCATCGGGCAGAGAGTTTGGGGAGTTTGGTTTATCTACCAACAGTAGAGAGGCCCATGTCGTTGGATGTTCATGCCTTAGCCATCCAGTTTGTGAGATTGGATATTTCTGAGCCTAGTCGAGTATTGGCTTGTGTGGTTTCTCGGTCTTCTCTTTATAATCGTATCAGGTAGCGTTAGTATGATGACTCCCATCTGCTTGTCCTTAAGGACATGGTCCAGTACGGTGATGATAAGGAGGTCACTATTGGGGATGATGGTGCTATGAGGATGCAGGGTAGGCTATGTGTGCTTAATGTAGATGGTTCGCGTGAGTTGATTTTTCATGAGGCTCATAGCTCGCGGTACTCTATTCATCTGGGTGCCACGAAGATGTATCAGGACTTGAGGCAGCATTATTGGTGGCGTAGGATAAAGAAGGACATAGTGGAGTATGTTGCTCGGTGTCTAAATTGCCAGCAGGTGAAGTATGAGCATCAGCGACTGGGTGGATTGCTTCAGAAGTTAGAGATTCCGGAGTGGAAAGGGGAGCGGATCACTATGGATTTTTTTGTTGGACTCCCACGGACTCAGCAGAAGTTTGATGCAGTATGGGTGATTGTAGATAGGCTGAACAAGTCGGCTCATTTCCTTCCTGTGATGACTACCTATTCTTATGAGCAACTGGCTCGAGTTTATATCCTTGATATTGTCATACTATATGGCGTGCCGGTATCTATCATCTCTGACCGGGGCACAAAGTTTACATCATGGTTCTGGAGAGCCGTACAACATGAGTTGGGTATTCAGTTGGAGTTGAGCACAACATTTCACCCCCTGGTAGACGGACACTCCGAGCTTACTATTCAAATTCTTGAGGATATGCTATGTGCATGTGTGATGGAGTTTGAAGGTTTTTGGGAGTTTTTGCCACTTGTGGAGTTTGCCTACAACAACAGTTATCAGTCCAACATTCATATGGCACTGTATGAGGCTCTGTATGGTTGGCGACGTCGGTCCCCAATGGGTTGGTTTGAGTCAGGTGAGGCTAGATTATTGGGCATAAACTTGGTTCATGATGCTTTGGAGAAGGTTAGGGTGATTGAGGATAGACTTTTCACAGCCCAGTCCAGACAGACAAGTTATGCGGATCAAAAGGTTCGCGATATTTCATTTATGGTTGGAGAGCGGGTTTTGCTTCGGGTTTCGCCTATGAAGGGCGTTATGAGATTCAGAAAGAGGGGCAAGTTGAGCCCAAGGTTTATTGGTCCCTTTGAGGTGTTGCGGCGTGTTAGGGAGGTTGCTTATGAGCTTGCCTTACCTCCCAGCTTGGCAGGAGTTCATTTGATATTTCATGTTTCGATGCTCTGTAGGTATCACGGTGATCCGTCTCACATGTCGGATTTCAGCTCAGTCCAGTTTGACAAGGATCTATCTTATGTTGAGAAGCAGTGGCTATTTTGGACAGTTAGGTTCGAAAGCTGAAGTCAAAGAGCATTGCATCAGTAAAGGTTCAGTGGCAGGGTCAGCCGGTCGAGGAGGCGACTTGGGAGACCGAGCAGGATATGCGCAGCCGATTGAATGAATGTTTTAAGAGGGGGAGGATGTAACGACTTGGCCGGTCGTTTTGAAAATTAACGCCTCGATCCCCTATTAACTGCCTCCCCGTTATCTATTTCTACTATTGTGACTTGCCGGGAGGATTTGTTTTGAGTTTCGGAGTGTTTTGAGCACTTAGTGCCTAAATAAGAGATTGAGTCTTAGAATTTAGACCATAGTCTAAAAAGTGTAAAGACGGCTCCGAAATGGAATTTCATCGATTCTATTAGCTCCATTGGGTGATTTTGGGCTTAGGGGCATGTTCGTATTGTGTTTTGGATGTCCGTAGCTCATTTAGGCTTGAAATGGCGAAAGTTGATTTTTTAGAGTTTTGGGCCGGCAATGGAATTTTTGATATCGGGATCAGAATCCGATTCCGGAAGTTGGAGTAGGTCCTTAGTGTTTAATATGACTTGTGTGCAAAATTTGGGGTCAATGGGACGTGGTTTGGTTGGTTTCGACATCGTTTGCAGAATTTTGAAGTTTCAAGTTCATTAGGTTTGGATTGGAGGATGAATTGTGTTTTTAGCATTGTTTAATGTGATTTAAGGTCTCACTATGTTTTTATAGGGTTTTAGGATTGGTTTGTATGTTTGGTTGAGATCCCGAGGGCCTCAGGTGTGTTTCGAATGCTCACCGGGTGAAAACTTGGACTTAGAGGATTTTTAGGTGTGCTGGTTCTGGTGTTTTTGCACCTGCGGTAGGGAACCGCATGTGCGGGGCCGCATATACGAACGACTAAGCACAAAAGCGGATTTTGGGAGAAGGTATGGGGTTAGAGGTGCGAGAGGAGTTCCGCATCTGCAATGCCTACAGGTGCGAGTGAAGGAATGTAGGAGCGGTCTGGGACCGCAGAAGCGGACGAGGATCCGCAGGTGCGCACACGCAGGTGCGATATCTTGATCGCAGAAGCGGATGAGGTGCATTAAGTGAAAAGCCGCACCTGCGATGGAAATTTGGCAGGTGCGGGACCGCATATGCGGTCTTGGGATAGCAAAAGCAGAAATAAATAGGCAAAAAAGGAGATTTTTGAGGGTTTGAAATTCATAATACAAAATTCGATTTGGAGCTCGGTGGAAGGAGATTTTTCAAGAGTTTTTGAGAGGAAATCATTGGATAACTATTCCTAATTATTTTAAACATATTTCATTAATCCATAGTTGTTTTCTTCATTAAATTACTGAATTGGAGTGAGGTGTGAGCACGTGATTTTTGCCCTGTACGAATTACTCCTATAAAATTCAAGAAAATAGATTTTTTCTTAATTATTTGCCATGTTTAGGAATTTTTGTAGAATTATATTAATTGTTTGCATTTTTTGCACATTCAGTTTTTATTAAAATCATGAAAAAAATGCCACAAATATCATGCATACATTTAGATTTTTTGTTCACATTTTAGGATTAATTAGTTAAGTAATTGCTTTATCAAAAATGAAAATCACAAAAAAATAGCTCATTTTTACATTCTTAGTTTTTAATTTTGGATCATTAATTTTTCTCTTTAATTTAGGATCAACTAATTTTCATAAATATTATAGTTAAACAATTAGCCTAATTTTATAATTTAAATTAATTTAGGAATTTAATTTAGGTTTTTAATTAATTAAAGGAAGAAAAAGAAAACAAAAGAAAAAAAGGAAATTGAAAAGAAAAGGCTGGTTTAAACTTGATTGGGCCAAAATTAATATTGAGCCCAAATCCCTACCCAGACCCACCGACCAGCCCAATCTCCCTACCTAAACCCGCCTGACCCGACCCGCCTAGCCCAAGACCCCCCTCTCATTAAAACCTACAGACCCTAGACCTAGACACTCTAGGAGAGCCGCCGTTTTCCATCAAAATGACCCCTTGTTCATCTTCTTCAAGACCAAAGAATAGACCCCCGCTGGACCTTCTTCTCCTTCACCTTCCAAATCCTTTGAACTTCATCTTCTTCGTCCTTAGGATCAGCAAAAAACTCAAAAAAATGGGACCTTAAGGGACCTACACTAAAGAACGGACAGCGCCGTTTCCCTGGACCTTGTTCTTCGCTGCTCTCTCATCTTCAATAGAATCAAACCCACACAAAAAGGAGAACCCATTTTTCCCTTCAGCAAAGAGAACAGCGGTGCAAAGCATCAAAAAATCAGCCACCCCTTTGCCTTCGCTCCACCTTCTCTCTTCATTTTTCTCTCATAAAAAGCTTTGAAAAGAGCTCCTGAAGTATTTAATACAAAACATTTTGTTTCTTCATATTTTGATCGATTTCTGTTTTAAAAGTGATGGATTTTCAGTTGAAATCGAAGTCTGATTATGAATTCGTAGTCGACTGGAAATTTCTATCGCCAATTCGAGTTTTCCGGTCAAGAGTATTCTGGGTCTGTTGAGCGCTGTTGATGGAATTGCCGTGAAGATGATGCTGTGTTTCGTTGATGCTGTTTTGCTAAGCTACAACTTTCCTCTTGCCTTTATTTGGCTATTCACGTTTGTATTTACTGATGTTTAGAGGTATTTATCTCAATCTCGAAATATAAGTGTTGTTTGGATATTTATGTGCTAAAAACTTGCTGAAATTGCAAGGAAATGGTATGATGTTTTTGGTTAAAATCTGATTCTTTACTTCTTTTAGTTTAGTTTAATAAAAAGGGAAAATCCTTAATTGAAAAGTTTAAACAAGAACAGATCACCACTGGCCGAAGTGGTTTTTGCTAAAGTTGTCAGCGATGATTTCTATTCTCATTCTTTCTAGAAGTAAATTTCCTAATTCTCCTTCAATATCCATTGACATTGGTGTTTTTTTTTTAATTTCTCATAGGCTTCTTCTGTTTGAGATACAATGCCTTTTTACTTGATCGTATTTTTATAAATTCTAATGAATTATTTCATTGATGAGGCAACGTATTCTGTGTTGGGAAGTTCATTGGAAAAGCTGAAGTTATGCAATTTGGTTCATAAATCCAACTTTGTAATTATGTTTAGATCCTCTGTTAACACTTTTATTTGGTCTAGGGAACGATTTGAATTTTAGTTGGAGGATGATCTTCTTTAATCCAATCGATAAACAATTTTGTTTGGCTTCATTTTTGGGATGGATGAGGAAGAGGCGTAAACAGATGTAACTGACTAACTGAGAAAGCTCATTACTTAGTCAATTGCTTTATTGTTTAAAATAAACTAGTCCACAAATCTCATTAATCTTGCTGATATGCTTGCACTGTTTATTTCTGAACTAGCGCATCAAAAAAAAATGAATAGTTTAAATTGTATATTTATCTACTTTTTTTTTACCCCCATGGTTTACTGTGGAGATCTGGGACTTGTGCTAATTTGATGTTGTATCTAATTGTCCTGATGTTGTTTTTTTGCTCGACTCTTTAATGTGTGCGAATCTTGTTAGTCGTTGCTCTCGCTGCTCTCAACTCGGACCAAATATATGTGAAGAAGTTTAACTGAGGGGTGCCATCTACTATTGAAATTTATAATCTATGGCCCTCACATTAATACCAAAACTAGTGTAGAAGATACTTTGAACATTCATAACTAGTTTAGAAAATACTTATGAACATCATAGCTTGCTTTAGGCACGATTAAATAAATTATCACAACTAGGGGTACGGTTCCCCTGGCGTAGTTATGATACCTAATTTTAAACTATATTTAAATGGGAGCATCCTTAGTTTGCTTTAGTAAAAATACAAATATTTTAAAAATAAATCGAGGTGTGCCAATCACAATCGAATCACTTAAATCTATGGCCCTCATATTAGTATTATAACTTAGTATAGAAAATATTTTTAAGCATTTGTAGCTTGCTTTAGGCGCGCTTATAATAAAGTCATAATAGCTACGGGTACGGTTCCCGTGACGTAGCTGTGATACCTAATTTCCAAATTCGGAGGTATATTTATGTGACCCGGCCATAATTTCTAATAACTTTAATAAATTAAACATGTTGTAGATTGTGGGTACAGTTCCTGTGACACGATTCACAATGTGTATCAAACAAACAAGTATACGACAATCGTAACTTGTTCCAGAATAATTCCATAGAATAATTAAAAGCGGTTATAAAGTTTAAAAATGCACAATATGTTGAAAATATATAGTAGATCAGATAATATGCCAATTATTAATAGCTTAAGCGACCGTGCTAGAACTACGGAACCCGGGAATGCCTAACACCTTCTCCCGGGTTAACAGAATTCCTTACTTAGAATTTCTAGTTCGCAGACTTTTGAATAAAGTCTAAATTTCCCTGATTTGAGATTTAAAATAAACCGGTGACTTAGGACACCATAATAAACTATTCCAAGTAGCGATTCCAAAAAAAAAAAAAAAATCCCATTTCGAATAATGTCACTTTAATTGGAAAAGCTCCCTTATATCCCCTCTTAGGTGGTAAAAGGAGGTGTGACATGAGGAAGTTGAGAAATTGGGGGAAAAGTTCCCCAACCAAAAATCTGAGATTTGAGTAGGATTTAGGCGTCGGATTTAATTGATTTTTGCACGAGTGATTCTTGAGTGAATGAGTGTTCATAATTTATGACTTTAACCCGATTCCGAGATGTGAGCCCGGAGAGGCTTTTTGGGCTTTTTCTATTTTCTTGCCTTAGCTTTGATTCCATTAGCTAAATTAGTTGCTTGTAGCTATATTTACGTTATGTAATTGATTTGATTAGATTTGGGCCACTCGGAGTTGGATACTCGTGGTAAGAGCGTGATTTCGGATTGATTTGAGCTTGGTTCGAGGTAAGTGGCTTGCCTAACCTTGTGTGGGGGAACTCCCCTTAGGATTTGGTATTGTTTGATATATGAGCGTTGTGTACGTGAGGTGACGAGTGCGTACACGAGATATTTGGTGAAAAATCACGTTTTCTTTAAGCAAATATTTGTTTTCCTTTAACTGAACAACACTAGTATATATAACTATCCTGTTTAGCTTATGAAAGCATGCCTACTTGCCTTAACTGTCTTAACTGCCTTAACTACCTTAACTGCCTCTCCGAACTCTGTGCAGCATGTTTAGTGAAAATTACCTGTCTTTATTCATATGAACTTAGTCTAAACTGTAGAATTCCTTGTTGAATTTGTTGTTTATGTTGATTGAGTTGCCTATTTACTTTGGACTACGGAATGGTATTCCGAGAGATCCCCCTACATGTTTATGTTTGAGACTACGGGACGGTATCCCAGGAGATCTCCCTGTACTATATATTTACTTTGGGACTACAGAATGGTATTCCGGGAGATCCCCCTGCACATTTACGTTTGGGACTACGGGATGGTATCCCGGGAGATCCCTTGTTATCTCTGTGTACTGAGTTGTTGTTTTTCTGTGATTTCATTCTTGTTAAATTTAGTATTTATTCTTACTGCAATATTTCATTTTGTATTATTTTGTTATATATATCGCTCGGGGGCCCCTGACCTAATCTCGTCACTACTCGACTGAGGTTAGGCTTGGGACTTACTTGGTACCGCTGTGGTGTACTCATGCCCTTTCCTGCACATGTTTTTCGTGTGCAGATCCAGGTAGCTCACATTAGTTGCATTACCAGTGAGGCGAGACGATTGTAGAGACTTCGAGATATATCTGCCGCATCCGCAGACCCAAGAGTCCCTATCTACTCTTCCTTAAGCTAAAGACTTTCTTGTATTTTCTTCGTTGATAGATTCTAGAGTTTAAAAGCATTGTTTTCTTTCTGTAGCTTGTAATTCATGATATTTCGGGTTTTGGGAGCATTTGTGTTCAATTCGAGGGTGATTATTGTATATGTCGCGAGACATCTAAATTTCTTAAATAATTTACCTGTTAAATTGTTAGTTTTTCATGTTTTCGTCTTATTTCCCGCAAAGTGTTAGACTTACCTAGTCGTAGAGACTAGGTGCCGTCCCGACGATTCACGGAGGGAGAACCTGGGCCGTGACATATTCTCCCCAGACCTAATTTGTGGGATTATACTGGATATGTTGTATACGAGTTTCAGAATATTCCCTTCTAGTTTCATTTGTAACTATAAGAAATGAGAAAAGTGCGAGGGAAATAGGAGACAAGATAAGATTTTTCAAGTCTGATTGCCAATTTTTTTTTTTTTTAATATGGATGAGAAGAAAAAGGAATGTGTTTACAAGTAATCTTATAAAAGACCGGTGGATTCACCATCCACCTAAAAATTAGGAGATAACTTCCTAAAACTACTGGAATGAGAAAGTGGCCTACAAATAACTGCTACACAAATTATATGAAACATAACTAACAAATGATAAAGTCATCTACTTTCTGAACTCGTTGTAGACATTATCAAACTCCTCTTCTTTCTCTCTATAACGAGTCATTTTGGACGTCCCTTTATTTGTAGATTTTATCAAACTCCTCTCCTTGCATCGTTTGTAGATTTTATCAAACTCCTTAACCTGTTCTCCGTTTTCTCTATCAGGAAGACTCAATCTACAACCTTTAAGTTTCCAGTTACACCCCTGTAGATAAATATAAGCCATATGGAAAGTCAATTTCCTTTTCTTAAAAAATAAAAAAACACAACAACAAAAGTGAATGCCGAATATTTAACAAAAATGAATTAAGCATATGGAAAAAACAAACACATAATGAAGCTTAAAGGAAAACACTAACTTGAACCACAACTGTCGCGCCCTTTTTTTCCCTCTTCACATCGGAAAATTGGGTTTATGACATTTTTGGGGATGGGACAACTCATTCCTTTTGGGAACGGTGTTTGCATTTTGAAGAGTCACCACCTAATGATTTAAGGTGAATTAGGACACCTATAAGGTTCATTTCTAAATTTGTTTGATAACCAGAGATAGGATAAGGGCTTGAAATTATTCTAAGGGGAAGGTGTTAGGCACCCCTCAGGATCCACTAGTATGGTTCCCGGCCAGACAGTTTTGTGAATTTGTACAGTTAGCAAATAGACTAGTATATGCTCAAATAGTAAGAGATTTAAATTTAAACACATAGGAGTTTGAAAACAATCATTAAAAAGCGAATTTAAAAAAAAAGAGTTACAGTTTTATAAATACTTGAGAATATAAAAAGGAGGGGGGGTCCTAGGTTTGTTTATAATATGGATCACATAAATGCAATATCCGGTATGACACTCCTCAGAAGAGGGGATACACGTGGTATTAGCACACCTGTTATCATATCCATATCTACCCTTCCCACCCCGCTAAGGTATTAAAGCGCAGATTGGTCTCGACCTCTATTGCATGTTGTTACCCGTCCCATTCCTATCAGTCCCGGAGGAATTTAGGACTAATATTCCTATAAGTGGGAGGATTTTAGGCTGACTTTTAGGTTTTAAAGGTAAAAGGCTAAGACGACAGACAAAAACATGTAGGACTGCATTTAAAGAGGAAACACATAAACAATTAAGAGGATCATATATACCTCCGCAAACAATGCATATAAATAGCATGAATTAAACACAGTTAGGGTTATAATTTAAAGTACTAAGGCAGGGTGTTTTAATTGTTGAAGCAGACCAATTTATTACATAACTCAGATAAGAAGTCCGAATCAGGCCTGCCTGCTGGTTGTAGCAGTGCTAACTAAACAAAGGCGAGTTCGGTTTTATCATTATTACCTAAGGCTTTCCTAGGCGCAGTAATGAGCATGATGTCTATTACTAATTAGGAATGTAGTAAAACAGTAAACAATTCGAAACGAGCGATTTGGATCATATAGGCATGCTTTCTAACCGTATTAATTTAAAAGAGCAGGTTATTTAAACTGATTCAGAACTGTACGAGTCAAACCGATTTTTAACTAAACTCGTTTTAGATCCTATAGACATGATCTCTATTATAGCTGATTTTAATTCCTACAGACATGATATCTAAGTATTAAAGGCTGATTTAGGTCCTATAGGCATGGTATCTAATTGAACATGAAGTGAAGCAGACAGGATTCATTTGATCACAGCGAAATTCCTATAGGCATGATTTCTATAAAAAATTGATTTGGATCTCATAGGCATGACATCTAATTTCAAAGCTGATTTTAACTTTGTAGGCATGATGTCTGATTATAGTCATTCAGACCCTATAGGCATGGTGTCTAAGTGTGGAAGTAAAATATGCAAAATTTATTAAACAGATACTATAGGCATGTTATCTACCCTTCTAATAGCTAAAGCATGCATAATCATCCCATCCCTTTCACTAGCCAACCCCAATATTTGTTACAAATTATTACAGACCAAAAATGACTGAATTACATTAGAAAGTGCAAAAATAAGAAGTTACAACCATAGGAAGCCTGATTCTTGATTTCCTCTCTGAGTTATGGAATAAACTATCTCAAATGTCAATGTTGTTTCAAAGCCTTTCTCTGACCTGGGTGTGTCAAAGTTCTCTAAGGGCCTCAAGGGACCCCGGGCAGTGCTTACACCCAGGTTTGCATAACCAGATAGAAATAAGTGCAGTGTGGAAGGGCCAGCCTTTATGTGTCCAAGTTCATAGGGAGCTCGAGGGTCCCAAGGCAAGGCTCACACAAGAGGGGCAGAACCTAGGTTCTAAGAATATAGTGGAAGTGCAGAATACACAGTTTAAAAAAAAAGAGTTTGTTTAAAATTGGACTGGTAAGTTTATTTTTTGAAGGTAATCAGTAGTAGAAATGTTTAAAATCAGTTGGGGTAATGATCAAAACACATAATTAATAGTCATAAAAGGGGTCAAAGGGTTTTTGGGAATACATTGTTTGTAACCACATGACCCAACAGGGGTCTGGTTCGGTCATGCACAACAATAGGTGATACTGGCATGGCCACAAACCAACCAAAGGAACACAAACACATAGAGGGGACATGGGGTTTGGGATTCATATACATAGGAGAGCATTAATTTAAAAGGGGAAAGGAACATATTTCAGCATACTAGTAATGTAACTTGACTGCAGAAACATAAGCAGAAGTAAACAAGAATGAGAGAAGTTGGAACAATTAAAGAAACATGTTGTTGTTGATGCTTGAAAATTAACTAGGACATACCAGTAGAGAAGCAAAGTGCAAAAAGTAAGCAAAATTCCACAGTCTAGCCTTGGTTTTCAGCCGGCTAGACAAAGCAGTAACACAAGTAGTAAGAGAAAAGAGAGAAAGTTTTAAGTATAAGTGTGTGTTCTTGAAGTCAAATTGTTCGTGTCCTTGAAAGAAGAGGGGGTGTGTATTTATAGTTTTGAAAACGAGTAAAGAAGAGGTAAAATCATAAACACAAACATGGAAATAATCACAATCAAAATCAATTAACGCAAGTGATTCCCTTTAATTAAGGAATCACTGTTTAACGGGTAGTAACAAGTTTAATTAAGGAAAGAAATCAGTTTGGGGACAGATTGATTATTGCCATATAAGAGGGTAGTAAAAGTATGAAGTAAATAACCAAGTCTAAGTACAAAATGTGCTTATTTTGGGAAAAGATTCAACAAGGTAAAACATCATATTAAAGGAAAGGAATCAATTAATTTTAAACAGACGAGTAAAAATTAGGGCTCGTAAGAAAACCTTTTACAATTAGTCGGAAGATCGAAGAAATCAAGATCAATCAAGAAAGGAACATGATTCTGCATTTCACCATATAAATAGCAAGGGATGAACAAGCATGCAGAGTTAAACATGTTGACAAAAAGAAGCAACACAACCATATAATAGCAGTAGGGGTAAGCTAGGGTTCAGTAGAAACAAAATATTCGAAGCACAGTAGTCAAGTAGGTCAAGTAGTCACATAGAATCAACAATGAAGAAGAACATAGTAAAAGGTAAAGAGAGTCAGAAACAAGTAAAGGTCTCACAGTAACAAGTGAGACAAAACTTCTAAGAAATTAGGGCTTCAACAGTAGCCGAATTTAAGAGATGATAAGAACTCAAAATCAGATTAGTCAACCAAGGAAAAGAGAGCCATAAACAAAGAACTTAATCGAACAAGTACACCTTTAAACAAATAGTTTCAGAACTCAGATAAGACCAAAAAAGGAACTAGGGTTTTTAACATGCTGAGATAGATAGAAGAACAACATGAGCAAATCGTTTTAAACATAAAAAAATCACAAACAACATTAAAATCAAAGAAGAGATCTTTTGAAAAACTTAAAGGAAAACCCTAATCGTCGAAAAATAAAGAGTTGTTTTGAAAGAAAAGTTGAAGAACCTTCGAGAAAACACTTAAGAAGTTCGTAGTAAACAAAGATCTAAGATAGATCTGAAGAAAATTGAAAGATCTTAAAGATTAGGATTTTGGAAAACCCAGAAAAGGTGAGAAAGACCTTGAAAGTTACCGATCTAACCAGGAAAGTCAAGGATCTGACTTGAAAGGCCATGAATGGCGGAGAAAGGTCATGGATGGCCGAAGAAAGGCCATGAACAGAAGTCGAGCAAGGACTAGACCAGATTCCTTCGAGGTCTGGCCATGAAACCACAGAAACAAACACCCAGAAGCCATAAGTGGCCGATACACATCTCAAATGGCCATGAGAGGCCATGGATTAGGCAGGGGTTAAGGCGGATTAGGGTGAAATTAGATAGCGACAGCTAGGGTTCATGTGGGTTTGCAGAGAGAATTGAGAGGGAAGGGATTCAGAGGTGGCGGGTGTTGGAAAATGAATTAGGTTTAGGGGTCTTTCAGGGTTAAAAATGGTAAGGGTGAAAGCTGGAGGATCAACGTCCTGGATTAAAGAGGGTAGGTAGAGGATCCGGGTTGGGCCGGTTAAACTGGGTTAGGGGTCGGGTTTAAATGAAATTGGGTTGGGGAAATTGGGTCTGATTTAGGGTCAGATTTAGGCTACAATTTAAATGCAATTGGGCTGTTATTTAAATAG